TGAAGTGAGGAAGCTTTGATTGTATCAACATGGTTCTGGCTGCTTCCACCAGGGTCCTATTCCGTCTTTCTACTACACCGTTCTGCTGTGGTGTTTTAGCTGCAGAGAACTGTTGAGTAATTCCCTGAGATTCGTAGAAATCGGCCAACTCCTTGTTCTTGAACTCTGTCCCATTGTCAGTTCTGGCTATTTTCACGTTCTGCTACAGGTAGTTCTGAATGGTCCTAATGAATGTTATGATCAGATTTGGAGTTTCGTCCTTGGATCGCAAAAACTTGGTCCATGTGTAGCGTGAGTAGTCATCCACAATTACCAAAGTATATTTGCGTCCATTGATGCTTTGAACACGCATTGCGACCATTTGGTACCAATTGTTAGAGATATTTATGATTGTGATCCATGTATTTTATCTAGCCTAGTATTTTAATTCATTAGATAGGCCATTTATGGTAAAGGCCATATTCCTAAAATGGAATGGGCCTCTTTGGGATATGAGCCCAATGATATGTAACCTACCATTCTACAAAGGCTATAAATACGCCCTTTGTAGAATGCGTAGAAGAGGCTTTTGGAGAATGCGTAGGAGAGGCCTTTAGAAAGCGTAGGAAGACTATTTGAGAGCCAACGGAAGTTCTACGCTAATGTTCTCTATCATTCTGTAAACTTCCTGGCCATCAATGAAAACCTTCCTTTACACTTATACATATCCATCTTTACACATTATTGTAGTGTAGATCACAGGGACCAACAAGGGAATAAGACCTTATTCAATGCTCATTTTTATTCAATATGAAATTCAAAATGATTTTCTTGAAAACGTGAAATTAAAAATTTGTTCTTCCGATGTAAAAAATTCTTCTAAAAATTCCGAGCCCAAGCTTTTTAAAAAATCGCGTACAGTACTTTTGTGTTTCCGAGCTAGAGTTCGAGCACAAGAAAGCCTAAGTATATACTTTATTTGATACAAACTGGTTCTTTTGGAAAAACTTCCTGTTAATATGACTAACTCTACACCTAGGAAGTTTGTTTCAGCGGCTGAGAGAACTGAGAAGAGGGCTAAAGGATTATGCTATTATTGTGAGCAGCCATATAGTAGGGAACCTGTTTGTAATCACAAAGGATCTCAACTTTTCCTGGTGGAAATTCTAGGGACCGAAGGAGGAGAAGACATGGAGGCTAGCAGTAGCAAGTTAGAAAAGGAATGTGATAATGGACAGGAGGAGGAACCCCTTATTTCATTTCATGCATTACATGGTTTCACTAACTATATTACTATGAAAGTTAATGGTTATGTGGATAAAAAAAAGATACTGATATTGGTGGACTCAGGTAGTACTCACAATTGATTTAGTTACAACATGGCCAAGAAGCTGGGGTGCAGGTTGGAGAGGACAGATCCATTATCAGTAACTGTGGTAGATGGAGCCACATTGAATGCAAATACATTTGTAAAGGAGTTAAATGGAGGATGCAGAACACTCAATTCCTAAGTGAGATTTTGTTGTTACCTCTGAAAGGGTATGATATGGTGCTGAGGGTGCAATGGCTCAGTACTTTGGGCCAAATATCTTGGGATTTTCAGGAGATGTATAAGAAGTTCAAGTACAATGGAGATAAAGTTGTACTGGGGAGACAGAAGGCTGGGAAAATAAAGGAAGTCAAAGGGAATCCTAAACAATCACAACAAGCTACTGAGCTTTACATGGTGCAAGCCATTGAACAAGGAGGACATACAGATATTGGGTTGCATGAGGAAACAGATAAGAATTCTCAGAGGGAACTTGATACATTACTTATACAATATGAAAACATCTTTAGGGAACCAAAAGGGTTACCACCTAGTAGGGGTTCCTTTGATCATAGGATACCACTCAAGGAGAGATCACAACCGGTTAATGTGAGACCCTATAGGTATCCCCTTAAACAGAAGGATATTATTGAGAATAAAATCAATGAGCTGTTGGATCAGGGGACCATTCAATCTAGCACTTCTCCATATGCTTCACCTGTGGTTTTAGTTGGAAGAAAGGATGGGGATTAGCGCCTATGCACTGATTATAGGGCCTTAAACAAGCAAAAAATGAAATATAAATTCCCTATACCTATAGTGGAGGAGCTGATTGATGAGCTGACACGAGAAAGGATATTTTCTAAGATTGATTTGAGGGCTGGATACCACCAGATAAGAGTGCATGAGGAAGATGTTTACAAAACAGCTTTTAAAACACATTATGGCCACTTTGAATTCCTGGTTATGCTGTAACACCCCCAAATTTCCCACCCAAAAATATCTTTAAATAAAACATTATTTATTAACTTTCTTTGAAAACATCAGAATTGTGCAGCGGAAAATTCACAGGGAATTAGGGGCGTTACCGCCACACTCGGTTCTAACCTAACCGAGTGCACAGGCTAACCACCTCTCAAATAATTTAACTCAAAATAATAATAATTAACTAGAGTTCTTGAAATTAAAATATACAATTATTTACTAATTATGTTTTCTAGCGGAAGCTCTCTCGAAATCAACTTCAATAGGATCAACTTAACACCTGTACAAATCAAGTACAGAAAGAAAAACACAAAGAAACAAAATTAGCCGGAAATGCTAGTAAGTCCCACCCAACCCCGTAAAATAATCACGTTTGATATATTTTTGTAAAACATTTTGGAGGAAACCTTTTTCAAAACATTTTATATAAATCATAAGTAAAACAATATATACAAAATATTCTCATAACACAATTCATATGTAAAATATTAATATTTCAAATATAAGTATTTATTTCAAACCATAAAATTCCAAAATACCAATGTACATAAACCATCAAATATTCTCACAATTATTCCAAAGTATAAATCAATCACCAATATTCATCTTAAAATACTTATAACTACTTGTGAACAATATTCAACATAATCAACCCAAATCAAATCCAAAAGTATTCGTACTTCGGGAATCGATAAATAATTTTATTATTCAAATAACAATTATAACTCAAAATAAAATTGAATAATTCGAAATCACATTTTTAATTAAAATAATAATTCAAAAACTATAAATACCTCATTTCTCAAAATATGAGCTAAATATATCATTTCTCAAAATACATTTATGAACAAGAAGTAATTCACATAGTAGAGTGAAAATACCATTTCCTTAAATAATTAGTGTTCAAAATAACTTTAAATTTCATTCAACCAAATAGTATTTCTCCAAATAAGTACTTTAACAACTCTTACGAGTAAAGTACTAAAATATTTTCTCCAACTCTTTATACTAAGTCCCTAAGTAATTTCGAAGGGCGGTGCTCAATATTTTTAATTGAGTCCGATGGTCCGTTGTTATGTACGGCCACCCCGGGACTTTTGTCGGTACCATTTCTAACTTGAGGAAACTGAACATCTACCTTAAGTGTGCACACCCCCTGAAAGGGATTCCAAGCCCTACGGGTAGTAAGAAGTTCAAGTAGTTCGGACGTCAACGTCCCCCTACTCCACCAAAAAGGGATTACCCTATATAAGTGACTAGGTTACTGCTACTACTGAATAACAGGGTCTTTTGCCCGAATTTTAACACTCTCCACAGTCAAGGTCGTGGACACCAACATAATAATTTTCCACAGTCAAGGTCGTGGACACCGACATAACAACTCTTTATGAGTAGACAAGTAATAGCAGCCATAATCACTCTCCACAATCAAGGTCGTGGAGGACACCGACACCCCGGATTTCTCCCGTGATGCCCTTACATTAAAAGGTTCATTTTATCTTTATTAATCTCCAAAAATTGCAGGGGTTTACTACTCACGTAACTTCCCCTCCCCAAATTTAATTTATTCAGCAGTAAAACCATCACATAGACATATCCTATAAAAATGTGATTCACAATTTACAAAATAGTTCACCTTCTCAAACACCATAAAATATTATTATTTTTAGTATATTCCAAAATTTTATAGCTATCACACATACATATAATTTTCTAAAATACGGGTTACTTTATCCTTTAAACTTTAAGGTCAAAATTTCTCAAAGTGCTCAAAATATAGAATAATTCATAAATAGCTCAAGTCTCAATCCAAATAACGATTCACACGTAAATTCAAATACTCAAAAATAATATCACCCAATCTCAAATATTATAACCAACATAATTTCCAATCAAAAATAATACATAATTTTAAATACTAAAAATCTCATGAAGTATAAAATACTCAAATAATTTCAATGAAAAATCATACATATATTTACGAGGAAAAGTATAGATTTTGGTTGAATCATGAAAACTTAAGTCCTGGTGCTCCTAATCTCTTCCTCAATTCTGGTCTCTAAATAATCACCTTTTTAATTAAGATGGTATAATTAGTCACTTATTCTATTTTTAATAATTTATCCAATTTTCTTCTTTTATTCCATTATTCAATTTATTAATTTAATTAATTATTCGAGTTAATCACTTTTTATTAAACAAAACATCAATTCATTTCATGATTTAACATTATGTAATTATGTTAAATATCAATTAACAAATTTATCCAAGTGGTTTCTATCAATTAATCAAGCCAAATTTATCATTAACTTAATCCGGTTTTATTAGCTTACGCAAACACTTAATATTTCCAAGTTCGTAATTATGTTAATTTGATTAATCTACTTCAATTAGTCCAAGTAATATTAATCTTTCTCACTTAGCTACCATTTCGTAGATTACCATTCAGTTATTATCACACTCCTTGTTATTATTAAAATAAAATTCTATGTGTAAGGATTAAACATTAACCAGGCAGCCCGCATCTATTTTATTACTTTCAGTCCAATTAGTGTTAAGATGCGGCCCGATTACAAAAAAAAACGGTCCAACTATGTAAAAAAAACAAAAACAAAAAACTAACTCTTCAAATTAAGAGAACGATGATTGCAGAGAAGTCTGCATCGTCTTCTTCCTTGGCACAACGGAAGTTCTCAGGTCACTTAGGATAGAAGGTTTTCGGCTTTACCTTAACGATGTACGGTGGTTCGGAGATGAACACAGATCGTCAGACGACAGTTGGTGGCGATGGCAGCTTTGTTTCCCCCCTCTCCGTTTCCCGTCGTGAAACCAGCCCAGCGAACACTCCGACGAGCTTGTTCTGCGTCGTTTCACGATCGTTTTCCACGATTCTTTCACCGTTGGATTCCTCTCTTGAAGGGGAAGGTTTCTAAAGTATTTTTACGGCTTTGTTTTGGCTAAAACGAAGGGTCGTAAATTTGTATATAAATACGTATATATGTATACATTAGTTCGAGCTCAGCTCGGGGTGCGATAAAACCTAGGTTTGGGTAACTATTTATAGGTGTGAGGTGAGAGTTTTAGGCTGAGATATTAGAGTTGGAGTTAAATTAAAACAGTTTCTGCCCCACCCGATTTTACTTCGTGGGTTGCGGTAGTTTGCCGACCAAGAAAAAAAAACACCAAGGGAGCGGAGTTCTAGCTCAATTACGATTCTGAATGTAGCTCATTTTAGTTTATAAATTCATTCCTATCTATAGTAGTTTAGTTCACCGTAGTATATATTACGTAGTAGTTTAGTTCACCGTAGGAAAAATATTTTCTTTTCTTTTTGTACTACGTAGGTTTTTTTTTGTTGTTGTTTACTTTCATTTTACTAATAAAGTATGTACGTAGGTTTAAATCTTTCTCTTGCTTTTGTTTTTTTTGTTGTGTACTTTTATTTTATTAATAAAGTGTACGCGTTTTAGTTAAATACGTATGTATATATTACACATTAGGAGTATATCCGGAGTATATATTAGTATTTGAAAAGACACGTTTGTATTTTGTGTATTTTTATACAAAATTAAAATATACTCCATCCGTCCCGGTCATTTCTTCCAATTTTCCTTTTTGGGCCTTCCCAATTAATTCTTCCAACTTCCACTTTTGGAAAAAATATGTGGTTCACATTCATTCACCTTTTTCTTACACAATTACAATCATACATTTTCACTTTATTCTCACTACCTAAATTTGCGATACCGGTCAAAAATGGAAGAAATGACCGGGACGGAGGGAGTAACTTTTACTTCTTATGCCATAAGTATATCGGGTACTTGATATAAAACGTTACTTCTATTATCGGACCATTTTTATCTGACTACAACGTCGTAAGCTTGGAAATTTTATCTCATTAGAACGTCACAACTGTTGAATTTTTGTTTGACTCACTTAATAATTAAAATGTCATTTCCGTAACATTTTATGTGACTGATAAAAAATTATTTTTATTTTTATTTAAATTTTTGGAGTGTCACATTCTACCCTCCTTAAAAGATGTTTCGTCCCGAAACATAAACTAAAGTCAAATGACAAAATTCTAAAGTATTACATATGCCCTTTGGATTAACTAATGCTCCAGCTACTTTTCAGGGTTTTATGAACCACATTTTTAAAACTTTCCTCAGAAAGTTTGTACTCATATTTTTTGCTGATATCTTACTATACAGTGCTAGCTGGGAGGAACACGGGGAGCATCTTAAACAAGTTTTTGATGTATTGAGACAACATCAATTATTTGCTAAGAGGAGCAAATGTGCATTTGGCATGAAGAAGGTGGAGTACTTAGGACATTTCATATCCGGACAAGGCATTGAAACTGATCCTAAGAAGGTGGAGGTAGTGCAGACCTGGCCAGTTCCACAAACAGTTAAGCAACTGAGGAGTTTTCTGGGAATGGCAGGGTATTACAAGAGGTTTATAAGAGGGTATGCTGAGCTAACTAAGCCCTTAACCAACTTGTTGAAGAAGGATGCTTTCAAGTGGGATATAAGGGCTACTGAGGCTTTTCAAAACGTGAAGGGGGCATTATCTTCTGCTCCAGTGTTGGCTTTGCCTAACTTCAATAAGATTTTTGTGGTAGAAACAGAGTCTTCACAAAAAGAAATTGGTGCAGTCCTAATGTAGAAGGGGCATCCACTAGCTTATATAAGCAGGGCTTTGGGACCAAAATGGCAACAACTTTCAGTTTATGAGAAAGAACTTTTGACATTAGTTTTTGATGTCCAGAAGTGGGAGCAGTATTTGGTGGGTCAAGCTTTTATCATCAAGACTGATCAGAAGAGTCTCACTTATGAAATACAGTATAAGAGTGGAAGTGAGAATAAAGTGGCAGATGCTTTATCCAGAGTTAATGGAGCTGAGTTGCTATGTTTAGCTTTATCTACAGTTAATTCTAACCTTCTAGAATCGATTAAACATAGCTATGAAGGAGATGATAATGTTAAGGAGATAATGGTGAAGGTAACAGTAGGGGTTCCTTCTCAGGAAGTGCATCATTACATGTTGGGGGAAGGAATCCTCAGAAGAAAAAATAAGATTGTGGTGGGCAATGATAAGGAAGTCAGGAGTACCATAATGCAGTGGGCAGATGGATCTTCTATGGAAGGACACTCTGGTAGAGAACCTACTCTACAGAGGATGCATCATTTCTTCTATTGGAAGGGTATGAATAGGGATGTGCAAGCATATATTAGAGCTTGTGCAGTTTGCCAAGCATGTAAGTATGACAATGCTGCTCATCCTGGGAACCTACAACCTTTACCAATACCTGCATATGTGTGGATGGATGTTTCCATGGATTTTGTAGACGGCCTACTTATGTCATGTGGGGTGGAGGTGATTTTTGTGGTGGTAGATAGACTGAGTAAGTATGCTCACTTCATGGCTATCAGGCACCCCTACACAGTTATGGAAGTGGCTCAGACTTACCTTGATCATGTCTTTAAACTACATGGTTGGCCAAGGACAATTGTGAGTGATAGAGGAGCAACTTTCCTTGGCCATTTTTGGGCTGCATTGTTCAGTGTGCAGGATGTTGATTTGTTATTGTCTACCTCATTTCATCCCCAAACTGATGGGCAAATTGAGGTAGTCAATAGATGTTTGGAGAAGTACCTAAGATGCATGTGTATGGACAATCCCAAAGATTGGTGTAAGTGGCTACCCTTGGCTGAGTGGTGGTATAATACCACTTATCATTCTGCTATTCAAATGTCACCATATGAGGCCGTTTATAATCAACGTCCTCCTCTGCATCTACCATACTTAGCAGGAGAAACGAATGTGGAAGCTGTGGACAAGTCATTGCAGCGGAGAGAAGCTATGATTAAAAAGTTGAAAGCTAATTTGTAGAAGGCTCAAAATAGAATGAAGTTCAGGCTGATAAGCACATGTCTGAAAAGAGTTTTGAGGTAGGAGATTGGGTGTGGTTGAAGCATCAGGCATATAGGCAACATACTGTGGAGCATAGGGAAAATGAGAAGCTTGCACCAAGTATTACGGTCCCTTTCAGGTTGAGAAAAAGGTGGGAATAGTTGATTATAAATTGAAGCTGCGAGTGGGAGATAAGATACATCATACTTTTCATGTCTCATTGCTCAAGGAATTCAGGGGAGTTTTACCTACTAATCCACATATTGCTTAGTGGATGCAAGGAGTATCTGCAAAAGACAAGGTGCAACCTATGGCAGTTTTGGGAAGAGAGATGTGCAAACATGGCAATGAGGCAAGAGTGAAGTGGTTGATTTAGTGGGAAGGCCAGGAACCTGAAAATGCAACGTGGGAGTGGGTTGATTTCATTCAGCAGGATAATAATAATTTTATAATAGTCTGACTTGAGGGCAAGTTAGTTCAAAAAGGGGGAAGTATTGATACGAGAGTTAGTTAGTTAATTGACGTGACATGTTAGTTACGGCTATATAAGGCGTGTGACGGATGTATACTCCTTATGCTTTGGTGATGAATAAACACATTTCCCTTCCTTTTCTATATTCTAGCTTTGCATGCATTACATATTCTCGTTACTCTTTCTCCATTCTTCACGTAGAGTAACCTGAATCGTAACACAACAGCAGTTGCAGCGTCTTCGTCGAAGTCGTCATAAGCATCACAACGCCGTCGACTTCGTCGAAATCGTGACACAGCAGGGTTGTGAGTCAAGGAGGTACAACGATGCAGCGGTCAGAGTCTGGACTGGTGCAACCCATTGGAAACTGGAAGGAGGTAGAGTTTTGGGCGTGTGATAGCAGGGGAAATAGGAGAAATGATTGGAGACGATATGATTCAAAAAGCCCTCAGCAGGAACCCATTGATGCGAAACTGTTCCACCGCAGCATTAGTAGAAAATAAATTACTATTTGTTGCGGTTACACTCCACCCGCAGCAAATAATCTAAAAATCTGATGTATTTTTTGCGGTTCTCTCCTACCCACAGCAAGAAAGTCAAAAGAAATTCAAAATTTGAAATAATATAGACTATTTTCTGCGGTTCCTTTACGACCGCAACAAAGAGTATCGAAATTTTCATTTTTTTGTTGTGGTCGTGGAGGAACCGCAGCAAATACCTATTGATTTTGCCTATTTGCTGCGTTTTAGCTAAGAACTGCAACAATTAGGTAGCATTAAATAAGGAAAATTATAGTAGTGATCAGTGGTAGCAGAAGTATGGATGGTAACCAGAACTTGGTTGCTCAAAGCGCATACTGTAAAATCCAATACCGCAGGGGCAGATTTCGTGTCATTAAGAGGTACTGCACAATGGGCAGATTCAACAAGTGGTGTCAAAACATGAGCAATGTTAACTAGTGCATCCAAAGAGTGAACAACATTATTATCAGGATTAATAGGTGCTCCAAAAGGTGCACTAAAAGAATCAATGGTCTAAACTGAGGTAATAATGTTTCTATCGATAGCAGGAGGTGCACTACAAGTAGGAGTAGCCTTAACTGAGGCAACTACATTTTCATCAAGAAAAGCAAGACCATCATGAGGTGCACTAAAAGCAGAATGATCCTGAACTGAGGCAATCACATTAGTATCATGCATAGAATGATCAATAACAGAGGCAACACCATTAATATCAATAGCAGTAGGCCTATCCGAGGCAACTACAAGGACAAAAACCGAAGCATCCAATACAACGAGGTCACTAACATGGTATTCAACAACAGGGGCCTTACTCAAATCATTCTGGGGCATAATGATTTAATATGACCAAAACGAGAGCAAGAATTGCAGAAAAATGGCATCTGTTCATACATGACTGATTGAAAAAAAACCTTGGCTACCATTTCCAATCCAGTTTTTGAGCGGAGAACCTTAGAAACATCGATTTCTATACAAATTCTGACAGTAGATGGTCGGGAGAAATTGGCAGTTGGAGAGAATGATCAGCGGTCTCCACAAAAGGCCAACAATGTGAAACAGTGCCCTAGCATCGTGTAGGTGAATAGGCAACCCCTCAAGGGCCACC